AAAACAATACAAATACCAAACCTTGATTATGATACCTTCTTCAGTTGCTGAATTTTATATTTTTTAATAGGGGTGGAATAAATTGAATAACAACATGAAACATGACTTGCAAAAAAAGAATTGCAAATTTCAAAAAATTTAAATTGGTACCTTCTATTCTAGAGGTATTTTAAAAATCCTTTATAAATTTAAGAATGATCATTTTGTTTTAAAAATTTAATAGTGCATAATCCATAGGGTGTGTGTCTGATGATTTTAACTAAAACACTATATACATTAATTAGCATCGCTAGGGGTGTACTCAGGAAAACATTTCGGGGATGTGGGGGGGGGAGGGGTGGAAAAATAAAAATAATTACTGTTATTTGGAAATTATATATTTATTGTATTTTTATAACTTATAACAATTATACAATTTAATTCATTCGCGTCTGTGTTTTTGCCACAATATCCATGATATCTTCATAAGATACCTCATCGATTAGTCATCCATTTATCTTGGGGGGGTGAACACCCAAAATCCTTCCCCGTGTCCTTCCCTGATTATCATGACAATAGTAATCTAGTGCTTACACAATATCATAATATTTTCTCAAGATGAGATTTTGAATTACGTCACTGGTTATACCTTCCCACAATTTGAACTATACAATTAAACCTATAAATAAGATAATATCTATTATACCTAAAAATAATATCTTACTTTTATTTTTATCGGTGTTGGCTTGATTATATCCTAATGTGTTGTATGATGATGCAATCATTTTCAACTGAAAGGCGATGGTTATAGAAAAAGCAATTACCAAACAATCGAAAATAATCATCGAGTATCCATATATCATTAAACATATTGACTCAAATAGATAAATTACGTAAAAGTTATCATTATAAAATTGGTTTGACGCTGGAAATAATAAATTAAGCACACTGTATCTATACTGATTGTGTGAACCATCTTTGGATTTAACATATAAATAATCGTCGTTTATTAAAATTGGAGGAAGAACCAATATTGTTACAAAAGCAACCCAAAATATTGTGAAAATATTTGAAATCTTTATGGATTTTGTTCGAGCTTTCATTAGAATACATTTTTGATGACCACTATAAGACAAAAATTCAACAGATGTAAAATTTATGAATGTCCATAATACATCAGATTTAGAAATAACGAACCACATTCTGATTATTGTGAAAAATGATGCACACATGAATAGTATGTACCTAACAACTGCAGTAAAATCATATCGAGAATAATATATACTCATATTACACATAATAATGTTCAATAAATGCCATAGAATTGTTATATGACCACCAAGTTTGTAAATATTATAACCAAATGTTGTTGTAGCATTTGGGTTGAGTAATTGATGAAATCCAATAAGCTTCATCAACTGGATATTGATAATGTTAGTCTTCGTATTTTTTATTATCATCGTAATATTGATTTGATGTTGTTATGATGACACTGTTTAAAATAAAAGTTTGTACAACATGATTATTATGTAATATATTATACTTAATGATTTTTTTGGGGGTGATTTAGGTGCTTTGTATGCTATCTGTGGACATTGAAAATTATGTAGAGAAAGCATGACACATTGGCGATTTTTAACATTTTCAATGGCTTTGTTTAGGACGATATTTTATCAAAATAAAAATGTAAGAATTTGAATATTCTCAGAGTAATAAATATTTTTTCAAAACTGAGTTTATGAGACTATTATTTTCTGATTATTTAAAATCACAAATATTTAAGCACACAACAGAGAACCTATTTTATGTTGAATATTCATAACTGGAGTTTAATGTTTGGGCAGTAGATAAATGTGTTAAAGTACATTAATTGTAGAGAATCATAGTTTAAGAATAATAATTTAAAATATTTTTGTTAGATCTTAAAATGTCGACATGTGGTTAACGGTTATAGATGTAATAATAAATAATTTGATAAAATGTGTACTTACTATGTTGCAAATATTGTATCAGTTTTAGTGAATTGTAGACCCAGTTTATGTTATAACATGGTATCATGTGAAACATCTAAAAATGGCACTTAACTAATTTATCTACTGTTTCTTTAGTTACCTACCAAACCAATTATTTTCATAAAAATCAATTTTAGCGATTGTATAGGTAAATTCACAAATATTATTAAAAACTTAGTTGTATAGCTTCTAAATAATATCATTATTTGCGAAATAAAAATTTATACCTAAAGGTAAATTGGGTAATCGGGTACCAATATTTATATTTATAAGCTTATTTGATCTCAATTTTTTTGTTTTATGACTTTTTTACTTATATACCTATTACATTAGAACTTACGAGCTACTGCAGTCAATGAAGTTGATATTATTAGGTTTTTTGGAATGTCCACCGTTTGTTGTGTAAGGATTTCTTTTGCAGAATGGTGTTCAATAGGCTTTTTTTATTACTGATGTATATAATGTGTTACAATCATTAATACATAAGTCAGTACGGTTCCTATAAATATATACCTTACCTTTGTCCTAAAATCAGATATTAATTACGTAACTTTAATAATTTAATAACTCAACGGTCCCGATTCAATATTTAAATTATATATAATTATAAAACGATTTATTAAACATATAGGTCTATTATATAAAAGTAGATCAATATTCTTTTTAAATAATTCACTATATGTATAGTTGTTTTAAAATATACCTAGTCATTACGAATTTGCAGAGAATACATATATATGTATAAAATTAACTCTGAGAAAATAAATTAGCTAGTTAATTACTAATATATGATATAAATATAATTCAAAATATTATTAAAATATTTTTTTTTATACTGAAATGCATTAATATTAATAAAATATAGCATATAGATATAATATTATAATATTATGTTTAGAAATAGGTACCTTATCAACTTGTTAACATTTTATTAGTACACGCATTTTCACGAAGTTCACTAATTATTTTAGTTATTGCCTTTTTATTTGATTTTCATTAATTTTATATCATTGATAATTGATATAACTGGACTTTTATTGGAATCTTAATTTCGTTATTTAAGATGTTGAATATAGTTTGAACCGTGTAATTGGGAGAGTTTCTTAAATTTGTTAATAATGTATATTATTATGAAGGTTTAGTGTACTTTCCTGATATTCTGTCTTTTATTTGTGTAGAATTAAGTGTGGGGTTTCGTATGAATTTTACTAAAATTTGTCTAATGTATATTTTATAATCAGATAATTTGCTTGTATGGTTGAATAATTACCCTGATGGGTATTTTAATAATGCAACCTTTGAAATAATTTTTTGGATAATATGAAATGTTAATTGTCACCACAACATGTTATGCCGTATACTATAATTGAACTACTCAGTGCCAGGTACAAATACAAGTATTTATATTTGTCTTATAATTAATTTACGTTTCTATAATCGAATTTTGTATTTTATCTGACATCATTTTTCAAAATCTCGGACCTCACTAGTGTAGTACCTGTAAGAACCCCGGACCCAACTTGTATACCATTTTTCAATTCGGAACTCAACTCGGATGTAGCCATTCGTTTCAAGGCATTTCAGGCTCGTTTTAACTTTTTATACCTTTTCAGTGTTTCGATTGAGCTTAAGTGATACATTATTTTATTTATTATTATTAGATAAGCAGGTCACCACACCATTGTATTTTTAGCCTTTTGTGGGTATTTAATGGAATAGTTGCAGATGATAGTTGGGCGATTAGGAGGTTGGGATGATGAGTTAGATTGTTATTGAATTGCTTTTAGTGGATTTTGGCTAATTCAGTAACTGTGGGTACATATTGTTGGAGACATAGTATGGAGCCTTAGAAATGACTCGAAAGACTTTGGATTGAATAAAGTAGTAAAGTACACATAATATATTTGGCCCATATGACAGTGTGCAGATCTATTTAAACGCGATTTAGTTTTCGCTCGATGAGCTTACGAAAATTGAATCTCACTACCAGAATGTACTCTCATTGATTAATATATTTTATAAACTTTGAATGGTTTTGATTTATTTTTGTATTATTTTTTGAATGTCACTGACAAAATAATTACTAATTATGACTAATCCATCGGACGCAATCGGAACCAGAAAAAGTAGCAAAAACATCATTTACATATATCTGAGATGTAATCGACGGTCTCCGGGGGACCGGATTCCTTTGAGGCGAAGCTGAGGCACCCGCCTTGTCCCCGAGCGGCGTGGATATCTCCAACTCACCAAGAAATCGCTCGCGGGTGAGTTTGCGTATCGCGACCAGGTATAAGCCGCCAACTAAAGCGTAAAGGGGACTACGTGGCGTGTCGTTGATCGCTCCGGTTGGCGATAAGTGGGCTTCCAGGGATTTTCTGGAAGCCCTTTAAGTCGGGGGCTGCGAATTGGTAGCGAAGCATGTCCAACTTATGACGCTTGAACGATAAGAAGCTCGGGCCGGAGGTCAGCCCACGGTCGCCCGCCTCCAGAAATTCGCTTATCGGAGTTAGGCCCATGGATGCTGGGTTGAATTCAAGTGGTTTTTATGGATTTGGCTAGTAACGCCGGAAATACTAAAGCCGGTAGAGGGTTCTTCTCTGACGTCGGCGCGGGAATCATCCACTCTGGCGATGTTTCTCGAGCGGTTTCACGGTACGCGGGTGATGGCCACCGCGGCGTACCGTTCGTTTTGACGGAGCTGACGCGGCGTTATCGAACTGGCCTGACTCCAGTCCTTAAGGCCTACGCAGCTCTTAATAGCACTCAGAGCTAATGAAAGGTTCTCGGTTGTATAGCCTATTAGGCATCAAACCCGGGAGAACTCTGTCCCTTTTCAAGAGGTAAGAACATTACTAATATGAAATAATATTCAACTCAGTTTTTGGTCGGAAACACTTTTATTGGTGTAAGTACAGAACAATCATATAATAAATAGCACAAGAGATCTTGTTACAGTAGCCGCTTCACACGCGTACAACCGTCGAGTCTATACCCACTTGTCAAGTTTCACGACAACAACGGGACTGCCCATTCTTGCGCTTGTGGCGGTGTTAATATATTATTGAAACATATTAGTGTCACCTCATCATCATGCTTTGCTGGCCTGACCTATCTTAATTAATAAGTCACAAAATTAATGCATGTCAAACTATACTATATATTATAATAATATATTAAATACAACTATATTGACGACTGTCTACGCAGTTTTATTTTATGTCAACTCATATTTAAGTTTAAATCTACATAGCGCATATAATTTCGCAGACTCTCTATTTAAGTTTTGATAATGTACGATTTATATTTTATTATTGTTGCATAATTTCGTATTATTTAGTAGCCTCTTAGAACTGGGAAACTGGTATAATTATTTCAGCGAATGTAGTTGCTATAAAAACCAAAAAAATATGATATAATTTAAAAAATGAAAGTTCAGAATATTGAAATTAAACCTATTTAAACTTATAATAAATCAATGTTATTACTAAATGAATATTTACTATGGTTATTGTGTAAAAATTGAATTTTTAGTATTTTTATTTCATTTGGTATTATTTTCATTCTAAAGTTCACCTGTACTAATTTAATAATGATTGTACAACTGATAGTATTTTGTAGGTAGTATGAATAACCTGAAAAAATAAAATGGATTGAAAAATGGATATAATATATATTAATGAATGATAAACAATTTTAAATTAAGTGTATGGATATGTACATACATTTGTGTATAATTTTAAGTTGACAACAATATTCGTTGATACATTAAGCTTAAAGTTGTTGGCGTTATTAATTTGCATCGTAAGCAATAATAATTTCTTGAACTTTATGCTCATTTCGGTCCAATTGGAACTATATAAAGCGAAATTTATTTCATCATTCTGAAATGAAGTTAACATAAGTTAATGTATTGAAAGACATTTAATTAGATGCATCGTAAATAAATAATATATAATAATGCAATAAAATATTTAGGTATTATATTATTATTATGTATGTTTAAATTTTCAATTGTTTTTTTGTTTGTAAAAAGATATGATATAAAGTGAGAGTTACATAAATATTAGTACCTATATAGTGTCCATATAATATGACATTGTAGAGATAATATTTATTAAGTATAATTTAACTAGATATATAACAATTGCAAATATGACATAATCATTTTCAAAGTTATTCATTCATTAATAAAAATTCAAGTAAATAATAAGTAGATAAATCCTAAAATATTTTTAACAAGATAACATTATAATTCTAGTTGTATATAAATTTAGTTTTTTTTTTGTTTTTATACTTACATATTTGTCGATTTGACTGAATAAATAGCATGTTAAGAATACGTGAAGGGTGGTAATTACAGCACCTGAGATAAACTTGATGCTTTCTGGAGATGTCAGTGGTACACCTTTATTTGTATTCTATAAATTAATATAAAAGATTATTTGTGATGTTATTTCAATATGTATCAGAATCTCACCAAAAGAATTACAAAAGGAATTAATGACATTAATACTGCTTCAGACAGTAATTCAACAAGTATAACAGGACGCAACACGTCATAAATTTCATGAATTTTCCTAATAAAAAAGGTTTAAGTTAATATATTTTTAGTATTTATGTAATACCTATTGATTAGAATATAATAATTGTATTTACTTCATTGATTTTTGATGATCTTTACTTATTAGTACCAAATTAATTAAATCCTTAGGTTTTTCAATAATAGATTGGTTTTCATCACCTAAAACGCCATTTTCATGATATTATAATCTTTTGGAAAGTAATATTATTTAATTCTTAAAATATATATAATTGGAATTTTATACTGGCAAAGCATTATTCAACTGTGACTTCTGTTAGATGTTTATTGAAGATCTGTCTATATGACATTACAAAATGATTTGTTAAGTTAAGAAAATCTTCTTGGAAACTTTTGAGGGTCAAGTTAGTAAATTCATGGAACTTTTTCTCGTGATAATTACGTAACATACATTTTTATTTGTTTAAATTATTCACATTGAAATTATACAATATTATATTTAAAAATGTGTATATCTAAAAATAAAAATGATATTTTGATCTTTGTTATTGGATATTTTCTTGCAAGAGAAAATTGTTTATGGCTGCATGATTTTCCATCTTGAACTTGAGCTCCCCTTTACATTCGATTCCCAAGTTGTAAATCAATTGATAAAATACAAAAACAAATTGTTTTGTTGATATGATGTAGTGGTACTCTACGAATTAGGTTCAAACCTAATTTAGAATAGTGATTTTAGTTTAAATTCTCAAAAATCTCTAAGGCAAGATGCTGGGTAAAGTAATATTATCAACACTTATTTTTAAACTATTGTGGTGGTTAGTTTAGTTATTACTTTTAACATTTTTCTTGAAGATAATATGACCTTTGAGTTTAATGACAATACTTTGAGATTACATTTTACATTAATTTTCAATTAATAAAACGAATTTGTTTATTAATTTGTTATAACAATTAAAATATAAAAATCATAAAATATTGAATTTAAAATCATTTTCTACTTATTTCATATTATATTACGGATTATAATAATAGTGTGAGAACTGATTTCTTTTTTATGAAGGTTTGAATAAAATCAATTTGAAAACTGTTGAACTAAACACTTGACGATGAAGGCATTAGGTAGAAGTTGTCCCAATGAGATTGAATAGTTAGTGATATAATAGTATGATCATGAACAAAAAAATTTACGTGTCCACATGATCAATAACGAATTAAAAACCGTAGTAATTATTCCAAATAAAGAATGAGTAAAAGAAAAGTGAGGATTATGACACAAAAAAAAAACATATTTTATTATACCACAGTTTTAGACAACACTGAAGATGCTAGCGCTATTTCGAAATTAAATGCACAGCCCGCAGACGGTTTGTTTTATTACAAGGACATCGGAGATGTTGGATGTGGTTTTTAAATAATATGAGAAGCGACAGCCTATTTTGAATGTGATTGATAAATGTCAAATCATGAAGAGGTATTATCCAAATACAACCCAAAGCACAGAAATCTGTTCTCGGAAATCCGGAATTCAAAAAATTCACCAACAGACTACAGTTGATAAGTCGTTAAAATTATAAAACCTAACATATTTGAATTATATCCGGCAATACACTAAGGTTTTCGCATGGAGCATTCAATGGTATACCTATAGAAATGTAATTGTAGTTACATAAATTATATCACTGTGTTATGACACTAGGTACTCACAAAAAAAAAAAATAATAATAATATTATACTTAAAAATAATAACTTACTTTTATTTTTATCGGTGTTGGCATGATTATATCCTAATATGTTGTATGACGATGCTATCATTTTTAGCTGAAAGCTGATGGTTATACAAAAAGAAATTATCATAGAATCGAAAATAATCATCGAGTATCCATATAGCGTTAAACATATTGACTCAAATAAATAAAATACGTTAAAGTTATCATTATAAAATTGGGTTGATGCTGAAAATAATAAATTAAGCACACTGTATCGGTACTGATTGTGTGAACCATCTTTGGATTTAATATTTAAATAATTTTCGTTTACTAAAATTGGAGGAAGAACTAATATTATTACAAAAACAACCCAAAACATTGTGAAAATATTTGAAATTTGTATGGATTTTGTTCGAGCTTTAATTAGAATACATTTTTGATGGCCACTATAAGACAAAAAATCGATAGATGTAAAATTTATGAATTTCCATAGTACATCTGATTTAGTTATTACGAACAACATTTTGATCATAGTGAAAAATTGCGCAAACATGATCATTATGTACCTAACGACTACAGCAGAATCATATCGAGAGTAATATATACTTATATTACACATTATAATGTTCAATAAAAGGCATAGAACTGACGTATAACCACCAAGTTTATACATATTATAACCAAATGTTGTTGAAGCATTTGGATCTAGTAACTGATGAAATCCAATAAGCTTCATTAACTGTATATTGAAAAAATAAGATGTTTTTGTATTATTTGGTATCATCGTAATATTGATTTGATGTTGTTTTGAACTTTGAAGTCACTGTTTGAAAAAAAAGTATATATTACATGATTATAATACAATATACGGTAGGCATACTACTGTGCTTGGGGCGTTTAGCTTTGTAAGATGTGGACATTAAAGAGTGTAAAGATAGGCTACTGTTTAAAACAAAAGTTTACAAGCCTGTTAGCATACACAACATGATTATGAAATGTATAATACAGAATTATTTTGTTCGGAGCATAATGGTCAATTTGGGAAGGGGGTGGGGGAGTGTGCCGAACTTAACCTCATAAATACATAATATTATAATAAATAAAATAAATAATGCTATTAAGTTTTAATTAATATTTCTAGCCTCAACCCCAGATTTTTAACCAAATATACTACCTCGTTCAATGCTCTTTCTTAGCTTTCAGTGTATATTGAGCTTGTGTAGAGAAGGCGTGAGACATTGGAAATTTTCAGCTTTTTTAATGTATGTGTTTAGGAAATGGTAGGATATATAAATAAATAGATATACAAATTTGGGAATTTGAATATCTAAAAAATTATTTACTCAGACAGAAAAAAAAATAAATAATAATAAAAAAAAAAACACACATCATTGTAAAATCAATACATTCATCGCTTCACTGAAGATCTAAATTTGAGCTTATAAGAAATTTTTCTGATTATTGTATCATCACAAAAATTTAAGCACGTAACAAAAAAGATCCTTAGTTAAAAATAGTTAAAAAATAATAATTAAATATATTATTATTAGATCTGAAAATGTGGAAATATGGTTTTAGAAGTAATAATAAATTATATAATAATATTATCTTATTATATAATGCTAAGATAGAATGTGTACTTACTTTGTTGTAAATATTTTATACTCTAGAGAAAATGGACTTTGGTCCGTGAAGGGAGATTATATATTATCATCGTAATAAACGTCTAAAAATTATACTTAACTAATTTATTTACTGTACCCTCTATTACCTACAATTTACCAAACCAATTGTTTTCATAAAATAACTAATTTTAGCTTCTAAATAATGTTATTATTTACTAATGAAATAGAAAACAAACTTGCTTAAAAAAATTGCAATATATAACTTTATTGACGATTTCAATTAAATATTTTTATTAGGTATATAATATGCATAATGAATATTGTTGTCAACTTACAATTATACACAAAAGTATGTACATTGTGCATCCACCCACTTAACTTAAAATTGTTTTGCATTTATTAATAAGAATGGGGCATTTTGGCGGTGCTGTTTTGGCGTTACCGTGTTGGCATGAAATTATTTCGGCGTAGCCGTTTTGGCTTAAATGTTTCAGATTATTTTAAAATAAATGTATTAACTAGTAAACCAGACAAAACGTATTTTATAGCTAAGTTATCTACTTTTTTGGTGATATGTCTATTGTTTAGTAACGTTCGTCATTGTCGTAATGTAACCCTAGATCCCCAAATGCCATCCGAAAAGTTCATGTACTAATAAATAAATTCAAATTGTAAAAAAAAAAATAACAATTTAATAATTGTAACTATAATAACAGGATAAGTTTATAATTCTATTACAAAAAACTGTTGATAACCATACATTTTTTTTTTTATTTGTATAATTTGTTTAAGATTTTAATATTTTTAATTCTAATTTTGTTTGTAATTTATACTAAAAATAATGCAAATAATCGTATGTGATACACCCTCTTCTGTCAATTGGTGATTAAAAACGGTTTAACTAGGAAAAAATATTTTAATACTTCTTTTATTTATAATACTTTTTACACAAATTGTTATTATTTTATAAAACTAATATTCTAATATTTTTAAACAAATCATCAAAAACATTAAAACACATTTTTTTAAATTATTGGAACATTTTACTAACATAATATTGCAATAGAACTTACGAGCCACTGTCTAGTTAATGATGTGAAACTGACTGTCAAGATTATAATATAATATAAGATAATACATTAGTAAATTAATATTATTAGATTTCTTGAAATGTCCACCGTTTGTCTTGAAAGGATTTCTTTTGAGAAATGGTGTTTGATAGGTATTATTTATTTTAATTTATAGTTATATGTTTCGTGCATTAATAAATACATAAATAAATAATGTTGACATATATATTCATACTTAGCAGTTACCCGTTGTCCTAAAATCAAATATTAATTAGTATTGATTTAATAATTAAACAACCCTAAGCACCCTTTCCATTTATAGGTATAATTTTATTTATACTGAAAATGACTCTATAGTTATAGGTGTATACTCTATTACTGAGGATTAATAATTTGTTTTAATTCATAGACATTTAAGTAAAAGGGGGAGATGGTGCTGTACTTTCTAGTGGTCTCCCCGGTGAGTAGTACATATCAGAGTTGACATTGCGAGTTAACAATGTCTACCTAACGAAATAGCACTGGAAAGATGGCCAAATATCTTAAGACTTCCTGGCTATACAGGAAAAAATAGACTTTTTAAGGGCTACCCTTTTGGCAATCGTAACTATCACGAGACGTAAAAACCAAATAGTAAAGTAAAATCAATAGAAATATCAAACTTAAATCAAACTCAAATTTAAAAAACAAAAATAATACAAATGACGACCAGGCTAGGTTAGGTTAGGCGAGGGACTCACAAACTCAAAAGCTGAAATACTTGGCAACATCTTTAAAGAGATAGTACTAACAATACAAGAGACGTATGTTCCCGAAGGAGAAACAAAAAGACTAGCAATACCGGGTTTTCGAATGATTGACTACATTGGGCACAATAAACACAGCCTCGGCACAGACGTAAATCTGCGCCTAAAGCAACAAACCATACAGCCTTTGTAAGGAAATTAATTCGCAATCGGAATACGCATGAGTGATCTCAATATCTATAACGTCTACAAGCCACCATCATGTTAATGGAACGACGAACCCCTCCCGAGATGCCAACACCAAGGAACACATAGGCGATTTCAATTCCCATACCCTAGAATGGGGATACACCTGGTTTATGACGCCAAGCAAGGAGGTACCTTTGAACCAGGTAGATGGGGTACAACAACCTCCTCAGACTTGCGCTTTGTCACAAAAGAAGAGCACGATCTACCTTTGGAAGTAAATAGTTATATATTATATTATACATAGTTTTATAAAAATGTCCGAAAAGCCTACATCGACCAGTCATAGGAGAAACAAGAGTTATTTTCCCTATGATAGACAAACCAGAATTGCCAAGATGGAACCTATGAAAAACAGACTGGTCCAAATATAAAAAATACATAGAGGAAATCGTAAGTCATATCAGTCCAACCCCTAAGAATTACATAAGGTTTACCAAGCTAATTAAAACCACAGCATCAAAAGCCATACCCAAAGGGCACAGGAAAAATAACATCCCTTGTTGAACATAGGAGTGCGAATTACTTTTTAAAGAATACGAACAGTCTGGAAACGATATCACTACACATAGATTATCGAATCTTCTGGAAGAAGAAAGTCGCAAAAGATGGTTAACAGCAATGCAAGAGCTCGATTTTACGTACTCAAGTAGGAGAAGCTAGGCTCTTTTGAAGAAGCTAGGATGTGCCCAGCCAATTAGAAAAGAAAAAGGAGTCACAGAAAACGACATTTCAAACATTCTCTTCAAACTTAAAATAACAAACCTAATAAACAAGAAAAGTCACAGGCAAGAAAATCGTATGTAAGAAAACTAAAACATTGCGAACTCACAACACCATTAATGGATGAATTCACTGATTTGGTGACAGAGATGGCAGCAAAAGACATATACAGCGGAAAGTAGCAGGAGCTGATGGAGAGCTACCAAAAAGTCTTAAGTTCCTTGGACCAAAAGGTAGAAATTGGTTATCCAGATTGGCTACAGTTGTAGCAAAAACTAGCAACATCCCAAATCTATGGCGAACAGTCAAAGTTACAGCACTCTTAAAACCTGAAAAACCAGCAAATGATCCAAGAAGTTATGGACTACTGTCCAGTGTCCACTGTATATAAACTTTTTGAGAGACTCATACTTAACAGAATACAACCTATACTAGAAAAAGTACTACCAATAGAATAGGCTGGTTTCAAAAAAATCGAGCCTGCTGTGATCAAGTACAACATACATTGTGAATGGCTACCAATGCAAGGTAATTCTGGTAACGTCTTCCTTGACTTATCATCTGCTTATGATATAGAATGGAAAAGAGGCCTGATGCTTAAGTAATTAAATAAAGATGCTCTCCAGTATTTTTAACCAAATTACGTAAATTGACGGAAAAGATGTTTGAAAAAAAAATTGTTTTTGTACACAGGCT